CTGAAGGTAGTCTACAATTTCCGAACGGATTTTCCGGAAAATTACTGTTCCATTTGACTTTCAACCGAAATTTCCGGATTTTTTTGCTAAATGGTAAGTACCCGAGTAATCTGTTCCGGGACTGAATCGAAAGCACTTATTGGAAAGCGAAAAATTTCAGCGTGCAACGGCACCAAGCAACGGCATGGATGGTGATAATGACGTCATTCCCGGGAACAAAACAATCGAGGAACGAGACTGGACAAGAAAAAGAAAGATGGCGCTGGACACGGTTAGTCACTTCTTTGATAATTACCGTCGAAAAGGGCAGAAAGGAGAAGAAACCTTACAGTTTATCCGAGAAAACATATCAAAATCAATTAGGAAGTCATCTCTAGGTGACTGTAAATTATATTTTGATCTTGCACTTAAAACGCCGCTCAAGCGACGCTATCTCAAATGAGCGTTTGTTTACAGGGACCATTTGTATAACAAATAAGTCACTATAGCTATATTGATACACACAGGAAAATACTCCAAGTATTGTGATGTACCAGACGAGGAATTCAGGAGCTGGCTGAACTCCCTGCTGGGGCAAGAGAGCTTGAACGAGGAGCAAACTAACGAAGTCCGGCGACAACTCAACGTTCGCTTGGTCAGTAGTGCGAGAAATGTCTAATTGTTTTGCCTAGTACTCAATTTTTAATATCTTATTGTCTGGCTCGTGGCTGTAGAATTGTTTATATCTCCATATAGTCGTAATTATTTCACATATCGTAGAAAACCGCATCTTGCGAATCCTTCAAAGTTTACTTAATATGAAGATTCTGATCACGTATCAGATATGAGTTACTGTAATACCCTTGTAACAAGTTTTTCATTTTCAATGAAGTGAAATAAAGTGAAGTTGAAGTTTCATTATTTTGTATCCCGTAGACGTCTTTAAGTTTTACTTATTTGGTTGATGTGAAAAATTAACTTTTTGTATTTGTCTTGACAGAAACGAATCGAGGAGAATTCTTGCACAGCCTTGTGGCAATACTGGTTACGCCCTGTAAGTGCTGGTTGTCGTGTTTGTTTGGTTTTGTACTTCTGTGTTTACTGATTGGTCTAAAAAAGCTCATGCGACTTTCTTGACCAAACAGGCTGAGGCATGTGATCTCATCATTTTCCAAAATAAAAAATTACCATCCTTTTGAAGTTTTAGTTTCATCACATGTAAATTTGTATTACATGTGTAAAAATTAGATCAACGGAGCTCAGGGTGGTCGAATAACCAAAGGAAACTCAAAGAAACAGGATAACTATGCATTTGAATATCTACTAAGGGCTATAAATAATCGTGCAGGGTCAACTTCTTGGCCAGCAGGGAGGGACAACTTTTTCTCATGTATACACTCAATAAAGTTGCCACGGAGCAAACTAAACCTAAACCTTAGTGATATTCAGGCTAGCCGGAGCCCTATTGAGGACTAAATGTAGTCTGCAGTTTGCAAATGTCATATAGTGTGATTTGCCAAAGTTTTTGAAAACTGCTTTATCAGGGATTGGGAAGGCAAAACAGGCAAATGAGCCTATGGCCCATGGCATTGTAAAGTTATGGGCCATTTATAAAACGTTTGGGCCATTAGGGTAAAGAAATGGGCCATAAAAAAATTTTGACAATTGATACATAATTCTTGATTGCTGTTGTTTTAAATATTTTGCTTGACTTCAAGCTAGGTTAAAGTGTACAGTCACAGAATATAGCTAACTCAGATGATATGACCTTTCACTGAGGTTAAACTATGCATCCTGAACTGGAACTGATTAAACTTAACACACCGAGTAGTCTGGCATCAACATCACTGAGACGTGCTCAGTTAGATTTAGAGTGACGAGTAACGTTGCATTTACAATTTAAAACTTGAGCTACGCATGAACTGTACATAACACACCTGTAGCTCTTTAATAGTTAGTGAAATGTTAACCAAACATTTTTTTGTTCCTTAGAACTACAAGGCTTGGAAGCTTCGTCTTGATCATTGTTTTCAGGATCACAATTTGTTGTGGTAGACTTGGTGTTCGTAACAATCTCTGAGTTTTTTTCTAATTTTGGAACTTTCGCTTTCGGAGGCATATTATTTGGCTAATTACAACATGCAAAACATATTGAAAGCAGGCGATTCTATCATTGAAAAACAGAAAGCACATGGAAGGAGCAAGAACCTCGTTTGCAAGCAGAGTATAAGTAAGGGGTCTGGGGACGAAAACAAAACGAACGCTTTTATAACATCGATTAAAGAGCAAAGGCATCATGATTTCTCACATATTTATTCATCATAATACTGAAAATTTCACAAATGAAAATCCTGTCCACAAAATGGTGTATATTTTACTAGCTGTTTCGATGCTACTGCGCATCACAGGCCTGGTAGGTGCTTTCAGAATGCGTCATTTCATAGATTTATGCACCATATGCGCATGGTACAGCCTTCCCAATCCCTGCTTTATCTGAAACTACTCTTACTATACTTTAAAATGCATCTTTCAAGTTTAAGTTGAAGAGGGTATATACATGTATTTATATTATACTGTCCACCTCTTGATGTTGTCATGCCATCACACGTTAATGTTACTCAGACCTCAACATGTTTACTGTTGAAAGCTACATGTACTACCGGTATACAATTCCCCTTTTCATTGAAAGGGGAAATTATTATAACTTCTGAAGCCCTAAGGAAAATCTCAGATCTTTGTGTTCAAATTAAGTCAGTGCGAAGAAATTACCAGTCAGTGTAAAATGCAGACTGCAGACTGCAGATCAGTGGTAAAAGGTGGACTGAGGGTAAAATGCAGACTGCAGACTGCAGATCAGTGGTAAAATGTAGACTGAGGGTAAAATGCAGACTGAGGGTAAAATGCAGACTGCAGACTGCAGATCAGTAGTAAAATGTAGACTGCAGACGTTTTATGTCTAGTGTTATCATTTCCATCACTGAGTGTTAACCATAAATGTGCAGACCTGAGTTATATTCAGGCCATAGTTACCATAATGCAGACTTTCACTTCAATTAGCTGAATAATGCCAAGTTTAATCAGTTAACTGTTAGCATTCTATAATGTAAATCACGCGTCATGAACGTACACCTGCAGTCTGCATTTCACCTGTGTTATGCAGTCTACATTTTACCCTCGGTCATAACCTTAAAGGAACCCATCTGCGGTCTGCAGTCTGTCTTACACTGACTGATAATATTTATTTAAAAGAAAACATGTTCCCTGCTTCTATCAAGCTATACAGTGGAATCCCGATTTCTCGAGCCCTCAGTTTTTCGAACCACCTGATAATTTGAACGAAAAGTCGTTTCCTCTCCTCAGTCGAACACTGTAATTTTACCCCCGATCTCTTGAACTATCCGATTTTTCAAACCAATTTTCATTTCCCTTGGAGGTTCATAAAAGCATGATTCCACTGTAGTGTGTTTTTCAAGTGCTCCCAGTCCCAGACGTCCACAAGTGTTTGTGTAACTCAATTATTCAGTCCTGTGTGTACTTTTATTTCATAGGTGCTAAATCCTGTATCAGTATTGCTTATTGTTGATGTGCAGAATGACTTCATCACAGGATCACTTGCTTTGAAGAACTGCCCTGCAGGTGAAGATGGCGAAGAAGTTGTACCAGTAATACAGGATTTATTGTCGAGAAAACTTTTTGGCATTGTTGGTTATACATTTGACTGGCATCCGCCAAACCACTGTTC